TTTGAAATCATGTATGGCACTCCTCCGCCCGTGGTCCCCAGGGTGAGCCCCGAGGCTCTCCCAAAACACCCCAAACACGTGTTGCAAGCCGTACAAGCTCTGCAGCGCGTTCACAGCCGAGTGTGGCCGGCCCTCCGCGCCATATACCAGGCCACAGGGCTGGGGGCGGGTAGTGCTGAACATTCTTATCACCCACACCAGTCGGGAGACTGGGTATGGGTAAAAAGACATAACAGCAAAACCCTCGAGCCTAAATGGAAGGGCCCCTTTCAAGTTATCCTTGTTACTCCCACTGCCCTCAAGGTGGATGAAATATCAACCTGGATACACCACTCCCACGTGAAGTCGGCTAGCAAGAGCGACCAAGAGCAGTGCCAGAGCCAGTGGAAGGCAACGGTGGCAACCTCTCCACAGAAGCCTCCCCTAGGTCATGTCAATGGGACCGTAAAGGCCCTGGTCTCACTTTTCAGTCAGTTCTTGGCAAGGAGACCTGCCTGGGAACAGTGCCACCCAGCCATGCACAGCTCTGTGCCGGGGGTAACAGAGTAATAAATCAATCAGGAAAAGAAAAATGGGTCATTCTCGGGCCAAGTAAATGGTGGATTTGCTCCAAAACCGGTTTAACCCCTTGCCTTAGCCTATCAGTTTTTAATGAATCTAAAAAATACTGTGTTATGGTGTTAGTGTTCCCTAAAATAATATACCATACAGTAGAGACCATATACACCAGCAGGGCAGGCCAAGGGGTCACTAACCTAATTTTCCAGAGAAAAAGAGAACCCCTTGCAGCCATTACCCTGGCCACACTTTTTGGCTTGGGGGCAATAGGAGCAGGGACTGGTATCTCCTCCCTAGCGATGCAACAAAGAGGGTTCAGCACCTTGAGAGCAGCCATTAATAAAGACATTGCAAGAATAGAAGAGTCTATCTCCCATCTGGAAAAGTCTCTGACCTCCCTGTCCGAAGTAGTACTACAAAATCGGAGGGGGCTAGATCTAGTGTTCCTTCAACAGGGGGGACTATGTGCTGCCCTCCGAGAAGAGTGCTGTTTCTATGCGGACCACACAGGAGTCATCAGGGAATCTATGGCTAAAGTTAGAGAAGGGCTTGCCCGCCGCAAGCGGGAAAACGAGCTGCAGGCAGGTTGGTTTGAATCTTGGTTTAACAGCTCCCCTTGGCTAACTACCCTTATCTCAACGCTATTAGGACCACTAGTAATTCTGCTCTTAGTCTTTACATTCGGACCCTGCATATTGAACAAGATAATAATCTTTGTAAAGGAAAGAGTTAATACAGTACAGCTTTTAGTGTTGCAGCAGCAGTATCAGAGGCTTTGGTCAGGTAGCACAGACTTGAAACCTTTAGAAGACCCAAGAGACGAGCAAGAGTGCTCGACCAGCTTCTAAAGAAAGGGGGGAATGTGAGGGGTCGAGACATTGCACACCTGCAAGGCCCACACCCCAGTGAAGCCGGGGTCGAGACATTGCACACCTGCAAGGCCCACACCCCAGTGAAGCCGGGGTCGAGACATTGCACACCTGCAAGGCCCACACCCCAGTGAAGCCGGAACCAACATCCGGCTTCTGGAAACTGTTGCTTGCTTGCCATGGAAACCGTTGCTTGCTCGCTTGTTTGCGCCAACTTTGCATTATTCGAACCCCTGTATAGTGGGCTACCAGCCAACCAATCATGTTAAAGGTCAATGCATGATCCACGCGTGATCAGCCACTGCATAGCGCATGCACCATAGAGATAAAAGGCATGCTGCAACCCTGGTCGGGGTCCTTGCCTGCAAGAGTGGCCACTGCGTTGGTGCTCTAGGGCTTGGACCCTGGCTAGCCAGAAAATAAACCTCCTCTTGTGTGATTGCATCCTCGATGTCTCTGCTTTTCTGTCCAGTGGGGCTGTGGAAGGTCGGTCCCTAACAGAGGAGGGGAGAAAATATTTCCGGAGAATCAACGATTTAAAATAGGGTTTTAAGCGAAAGAATCTATTTCAAAGCTCAGCACAGAACTACTTTGAAATTAAGAGATGCATTTAGAGGTATGTGTCCATACCTTTCCATTTTGCACCCGAGTTCCACGTGGAGTGATGGGAACGATCCAGTTGACTGGAACCAAGTCCCCGTCAAATAAGAACACTGACCAGTGCTTAGGGCGCAGGGTGAAGAGCTCCCTGTCTACACCCAAGGCCTGTGTGCACAATCAGAGGCCTCCTGTGCCTCTGCTCCCTCAGGACACAGCATCTAGGAGCTGCATCTGCAAAGGGCTCTTGACACAGTGCCCACTGGACCAGGGTTTCTTGGAGAGCTTGGTAAATGTGCTCATAGTATTTTCTTGGGAGAAGGTCACAGGTGTCATTGGCCTCTCAAAGATGTTTCTAACTAAAGAGAGGGAAGAGATTCTCAAGAGCAAGCTGTGGTGCAGGGTCAGGACAGAGCTGCAGCTGCAGCCTCCTTGCTGCTGTATGGTGTGGGGTCAGATGAAGTGATTCTGGATTTCTCTTCCAACCCTGACACCGTGGAGAACAGGAAGCAGCAAACGCTCTTGCTCCCAAGGCCCCAGCCCCCAAAGCCTTGGTCCCTCAAACTGTCGAGGAGCATGTCAATCCCAGGACAGCTCCCAAAGGCTGTGCTGGACACAGGCCTCTCACATCATGGCCACTCAGCTGCAAGGAGCTGTGACTTACCACTGTTATTACTGATTTTGTCACCAACTTTCCTGAAAACAGGAAAACATCAAAGAACTGCTTTATTGTCAAAGGTAACCTTATGCTTAAATTCACACAAGTAGCCACAGAATCATCAAGACAACATTAAGTAGCTAATTATGGAGTCATTTTGAAATATTAGCACTCTCCCTCCTCCCCCCAAACCCTAACCCACCTATGTGTACTATTTCAGTCAATAAATAAAAAGTATTTTAGGCTGCCTACGGTTAAATAGGGAAGGGGGTAAGATGGAGAAATGGAACTCAGCCCGATGCCAAGAGAAACATCTTCCTTTTTTAGAGACCTTTACAAATAAGACTGAACTCATATATCTGGAAATATTCTAGTCCTTTTAAACAAAGAAAAGACAGTGAGCCATTGAGAGCCCTTCTATATATGTGGTTTTAGCTATCAAACATCCTAAAATGCCTCAAAAAGAAAATTGAGTAAAAGTGGCTTCCCCCATGCACAAAACCACAAGCACAGAAGCACCAGTAAGAGTTTTAAGTAATACGACTAAAGACTGATTGGTGAGTTCTCCAGGCCATATCTCATGAGAAAACAATTATACTAAGACTCCAAATATTTGATTTTGAACTTGCATGTTTTTGATGTCAAACTTACTGCCATTGCTTTTGAAAACTTAGATTCAGGAATCTGCAGAATATTCTCAATGAGAGAACTAACAAGAGAAATGTTTTTTGCCTTTCGATGTAAAAACACTTATTAATATTGACTGAAATCAGGACATCCAGTGGCTACCCATGTCCATATTAAATTTGTAATCAGAGATGGCAATGTATATACAGTCAACTGTCACTTACAAACACACAAAAATTGGACATGCTATATATTTCTCTTTTAAAATGTAGTCTGTATTATTTTCACCAATCAAAGCACACATAATATATTTTATTAAATGTAATCTGTATTATTTTCACCAATCAAAACACACATAATATATTTTATTATAAAACATTAGGCAATGTTACTTTTGAGATACGCAATCTGAAAGGTCACACTTGCGTTCATCACAGTATGAAATACCGGAGAGTTACATCAGAAATCAACCAGATGGACTCATGATTATATGGCATTAAATCCGGTTACACCATGCATGAACTCTGGGTATCAGCAGCGGGCCTGCGGAGGGCTTTCTCTTTTTAGCACTGGGCTTTGAGTTACGCATCCCAAAGATCAGAGCAGAACCCTGTTTCCAGCTCCAGGCCCAAAGCTGATTGAACGTGCACCGCGGTGTCTCTAGACTGCTCTCCTGCCCTGCAGGACTCTGTCTGCTCTCCGGAACCTGCGCTTGGAATTAAGGCCCAGACATAGGGAAGACAGTCATTTCCTTTTTGACTGAAAACTAAGCCAACAAATGAAACAAACCTAGTCCAAATTCCAGGATAATAATAATTACCTGGTTTATAAAAATACATGTCCAAAATAGTTACTTCCTGGGTCGTGCACAATATAAATTACAAAAATAAAATAGAAAAGATGAAAAAGTTGAGCACATTTCTCAGCTCTTTCTCCAGCATCGGCATTTCTCCACAGAGGTCAGCCTGGAGCCGCGGCACCAGGCTCCTGGCAGACCTAGGCTCAGCAGGGAGAACTCTGACCCTGGGGCGCAGCACTCCTAGGGAACTCTGGGGCCCATCCAAGGTGCACTCGCTTCTGCCTGGTGGAAGAGAGCCTGGGCAGGAGACCCGCCACGCCGTCACTGCCCCACCCAGGGCGGCAGGTTCACTTGGCCCAGGGAGAGAGTGAGCGGACGGCCAGTCCACGGGCACTGCCTCCCCCCACACGGCTCCTGGTGGGGCGGGCTCAGCGGGCCAGAATTCCCGCCATGTAGGGCAGATAATGCATTCTTAAAACTCTCCTTTTTCTTTGTTTTTACTTTTAAAGATAGATTTAGTAAAGTCTTTTAAAAGGATATGTATTAGATGGCTGGGCACCATGGCTCACGCCTGTAATCCTAGCACTCTGAGAGGCCGAGGTGGGCGGATTGCTCAAGGTCAGGAGTTCGAGACCAGCCTGAGCAAGAGCGAGACCCCGTCTCTACTATAAATAGAAAGAAATTAGTTGGACAACTAAAAATATACAGAAAAAATTAGCTGGGCATGGTGGCGCATGCCTGTACTCCCAGCTACTGGGGAGGCTGAGGCAGGAGGATTGCTTGAGCCCAGGAGTTTGAGGTTGCTGTGAGCTAGGCTGACGCCACGGCACTCTAGCCTGGGCAACAAAAGTGAGATTCTGTCTCAAAAAAAAAAAAAAGAATATGTATTAGAGAGAAGTCCATTTTAAGATGTTTTTATATGTATAGTGATAACTTTCTTTACTATCGGGCTTCCAAGGCTAAAATAATCTCAAGCCATATAATAGGTGCTTCAATGCTCATTATTACCATTTTGTACTTGAAAGTGTCTAAATGACACAAATATATAACTATTTCTTATTTCAATATTAATGTTGTTCATCAAGGGTTCCAGTTTCCAGTGATATGACCAACCAATAATATGTAACTAGTACAGAGAGAACCATATATTTTAGATAATATTTATAATAAATTTTCTTATCAAAGTTCCTCCTCAGAACATACTCTATAGAAAGTTGATCAAATAGCTTCCAAAATAATTGAACACAAGACATGAACTGGTAACAACATAAGCTCAAGGGAAAAACATTATGAGCACAAGTGGGCAAATGTGATCATCGTAACTCCATCTCTGCCGTGACACTTAAATACTCAGAATCTTAATGAATTTTGAACAATTTACATATCATAAAGTCTGAAAGTATCAATTTCAGGTGAGCAGTTTTTAAATCAGAAAATATTCAATAGTTAATCTCTACTCTCCAGAGTATTTCCTGCATATCCCTCTGCAGAGTTTTCCCAGAGCATTCACGGATTTCCCTTAAAAAAGGAAAGGCCCCCATGCAATGAGAACCAACAACAGCAAACAGGCATTCTGAACCCCTCGGGCCTCCCAAAACAGATGAAAGAGGAATTTACCTGGTTTCTTTCAGTGAAGAAAGAAAACTGAGTGAGAATGTGTGTTGTCAAAGGGAAATGCTGCCTTGTGGAATCACATACCCACCTTTAATGAGGGAAGGTAAGGACAGAACGCAGGCCGGACTCTGGCGAAGGAAGGGAGCTCTTAGTGAATGGCCGCGACAACCTCTAGTGAGCATTTTGTAAAATTCTACTCTAACATTAGGCAATGAATTCAGCAATTCATCTGCCATCGTATTATTGGGAAAGAGTGTTGTGTGTTTAGTAAACAAGGTGAAGTTCTAGGTAGCATTTAAAATTAATAATAACTCCAGAAGACCAAGGAAAAAAGAGATAAGGTAGATAGGATTTCAAAGGTATGTATGTCTTCAGCAGCATAAAACAAAACTTAAAATTCCATCATGCAGTGAAGCTGAATGTGCAATCATCCTTGTCTAGACAGGTTAAAGAAAACAGCGTCCATATAAGTGTCTTGGTTGTAGCAATGACAATTCTCAGCCCCAACATCACAAATTTAAGAAAAGCTATATTTTTTATTAAATAGATTTACTCATATTCCTTCTGAAATAGAATAAATCATACCATAAAAGAGGATAAGATGTGATAACATGATAATGGTCAACTAATATCTATTTTTTTTCTGGCAGACACCAAATTACTTAAGAAGATTAAGAGATAATTCTAGAAGCAGCATTACCTGGAAGATTACTTGGCATTTATATACTAATTTCCTAAGTAGTAGGTGGGCAAGCCCAAGCAAGCATTTATGGTCACATGCACATAAGTCACAAAAGTTACAAATGATGTGAAATTGTCACTACTATTACCACACAACTTAAAAAAAAGTCACCTATTATAACTGCTCACCTGAAATGATCTTGAACAAAATCTCTAAAAGTGTGGCTATGTACTTTTTCCTTCAGACATAATCTGCGTCACTTCATAGTCTAAGCAGGCAATCCTATTAGATCTGAGTAGGGCAAGGCATTGTGTTTCTTACATGCAGAACATGGAGTTTTCTATTTGGTTCCATCAACTCCCAAGCATCTCAGGCCCATGGAAGCAAGAATTCCTTCAATGATGACAAGTTTGCTATTTCTAACTTATCATCGACAGCCTTCAAGGGGTCCTGTGGAGGCATCCAGACTGCTGTCTGTATCTGAGGCCAGTGTCTGCTCGGTGGACATGGATGAAATGTCATTGATAGATGATGACTGAGAAGGAGTGGCGTTGCTACTTACTGCTGCATCTGTGCTAAGAAAACCAAATATAATAAAATCTGAGGCATGACATTGCTGCAAATCCAGGCAATGAGACTTTAGGCCATTTCTTGTCTTTGTCCTTCTCAGAGTTTCCCAATCCTAACTATTAATATAAATAAGAAGTTAGTCAACAGTACATTGGAACTTTTTCTTGAGTCTCTTATTAGGCCCAGAATCCCAAATATTCTTACATCTTTCCCTGAAACATTCTTTTCTTCCCAGAGACTAAACACATATGTGGACATGTGTATTCATATTAACTATTTAAAAAAATACCTGCTGGATTTCCAATAGATATCAAGAGAATATTGCCAAATTTATCCTAAAACTCAGTATCACAAAAGGCTTAAGTCTGAATAGGATTCAAGTGTCATCAGATACTTGAATTATCACAAACACTAAATCTATAGAAAAAAGCATCAACATTCAAATAAATCTTTTGCAATAAATAAAATAGGCCGGGCGCGGTGGCTCACGCCTGTAATCCTAGCACTCTGGGAGGCCGAGGCGGGCGGATTGCTCGAGGTCAGGAGTTCAAAACCAGCCTGAGCGAGACCCCGTCTCTACTATAAACAGAAAGAAATTAATTGGCCAACTAATATCTATATAAAAAATTAGCCGGGCATGGTGGCGCATGCCTGTAGTCCCAGCTACTAGGGAGGCTGAGGCAGTAGGATCGCTGAGCCCAGGAGATTGATCTTTACATCTATTTTACAAAAGAGGAAACTGAGTCTCAAAAAAAAAAAAAAAAAAAAAAAAAAATTAAATAAATAAATAAATAAAATAAAGGCTCTATATTACAAAAAGGAAAAAATTTAGTGGCCTCTTGTACATTTTATTTTTGTTTTATGTACACAGAAAAGTGACATTTTAATCTTTTAAGGCAAATGAAACTATATCCTATTTCCTACTATTCATATTTTAGTCTGGTTTGAACAAAAATAAAACATGCAGGCTGTCAGAGATTAGTGTTTGCAGTCTTAAATTTGTGCTTAGTTAACAAGCACCTACATTACTGCTGAAGTTATATAATCTCTAGATGTTTGACACATATGTCATGGTGAATATAAAATTCAAGAATAAAAAGCAAGCTGTGCAATCTGTGCTTCCTCACACACAGCCTTTCCAGTGGGAATGGGAGTGAGAAAATAAATAACACTGAAGACTTTCACTTAGTAAACAGGTAGAAAACCTGGTATCAACAAAGGTTGACACCACTAACATCAGAGTCTTTCATAATCTTACAATTACCTAGTCCTTAGGCTTTTGCCACTAGGTAGCTCAAGTAGAAAATGGAGAATGATATGAAAAATTTCCTTGAAAGAAAACCTAATTATATTTCACCTAGATTTGCATTAATGTTCTTTTTTAACTGGGTGGGACTAGTACAAACAGAGTCATGCACATGGAAAAGGCTTTAAATTCAATTTCCTTATCTATAAATGGAGATGACAGCGGCTATTGCGAGGATGAAACGAGCATTCGTACCACACAGTAGTTTGGCGCCTGGCGCGCAGGTAAAATGTCAGCTGCCCCCACCACTGGCACTACACTATGAGCCAAATCACACAGCGGTTTTCAAACTCAATGCTCGCTAGGCTCGCATCCAACACACTGTTGCCACTTATAACAATTGAACAGGCAAAGAAAAATATCATAGATTCAAACTATTAAAGCAATCACTAACCTGAAGGCTGATCTTTCACAACGCCATTCTTGCTTCTTTCTTCCCAATCCATTACTTCTTTGTAAATTAGCTCTTCAAACAGAAATGCAAGTTAAAATGCTTCATCAATTTCTCTGCATCTCTAAACTCTGCTTCGAAATCAATGGGAACCACTCCAAGGGCACTGTGATATGTTATTTTTAATTGTGATATATAGTCAATTCAGTAATATAGTTTACCTGAACCAATATATCCATGTTTTGATCCATTAAATCTTTTGATCCATTAAATCTTTTAAGGTAGCAAATGATGTAGGGCAGTTCAGAATCCATACGTGGGTTTTACAAAGAGAGAACTGGTGGAGTGGCTTTCAGAGAACATTTTAAAGGACTGGATGTTCCCACATCCATGTCAACATGTTTCTCTCCATCGCTACTGTGGTTCTCCGACCAGAACCCACGCATGGGCCATGAGCTCCAGACTGGCTAAAAATGACTCCACACACCTAAGTCTTTTTATGGCTCCAATTCAGTTTTCTTCAACTTTCATTTGTAAGAAAAACTAACTGCTGACTAAGTAAGCTATTAGGGATTTTGACACTTTTGGTATTCACAAACCTTAGCACACTGTGAGCATTCAGTGAGGCCAATGCATGTGCTGTGTGCATGCCCTGCTAAGCACACACAGGCGACTGGCACCCCTGCACCCGGCAGGGCCTTGGGCAGGACCCACCGTCAGTGCTGACTTGCTCTGACTGCAGTTCTCAGTGAATATTGATTCTGCTTTTTAATGAAAAATTGTGACTTCAGCCTCTTCACTATGGGCTTGGTTTGTTGTGGACTGTTTGGTTAATCTTATACTGGTAGTATGCCCATTTGCATATTTTTGATCTAAAAATTTCCCCAAACTAAATTTTAAAACAGACATACAACTACGTGGCTTAAAAAACAAACAGAAGTTCACAGGACCCCCAGCCCTTACTCCCCATTTCTGCTCATACAGGGAATTTTATAGGTAATGTTTGGCCTGTGAATTGGGGTTGCCTGCCAATTTGTAACACGTGATCAAGACAAGCATGAAATAATACTAATAACTAAGCTCAGTTTACCAACATTGGAAAATGTAAAGTCATGTGAAAAAGCCCTTATTTTTCTCTCTTGAAGCAAATAATAAGAAATTCATACATGTTCCTCTATAATTCTGTTACTTTCAAGTTGTTTTTCTACTGGAAGGTGGAGAGGGCAAGTGGGCTGCAGGGTCCATTGCCCTTCCCGAAGGGTGGCTGTCAAAGTGAGAAGCTTCTGCTTGACAGGACTGTAGGAAATGTCATAGGAGCAAAATAAGCTCTGTCTTTACCTTTCCATTCTTCAATTGCATGTTCTCTTTCTTCCAACTGGGCATCATAAATTTGAGGTGGTGGCTAAAATTAAATCAGACAGAAAGTCAACAGTTCAAAAAATAATGAGGCATAAAAACAGGTGAAATGACTTGGAAGACTTCTAGTCTGTGATACGGATTTAGTTTCATTCAATACATGGTTTATTAAAGATTTTTGTTCTAAGTGTGATATTACATCAGTTTCAGAATCAAAATAATTGTGGAAAAATTAACCAAAAAAGAGAGCTATTATGGTCTTACTAATCATATGTCCTCAAAACACTAAAGATACATGCTCAAATGTAATTATAAATTAATAATCACAGACTGTTTCCTAGAGTTCCACCATGGATACCACACCATGGCAGGAACTATGGAAGGTGCAGTGTTTCTCAGAATATACGTCTAGTTTACATTTCTTCACAATAAAACTCCCAAACCCAATCCCCAACTCATAAATGAATCATTCAAAAAATATGCTTATAAATTGGACTCTTTTTATAAAAAACAATGTTTGAAATGATGGTTAAAACCATAGGCCATGACATAAGCTGTGTTTACCAGTGGCATGAAATAGGCATGCCACTTGGCAGTCACTTGCCTTGCAGCTGACGACCATTCGCACCAGTGCTGACATGGAAGAAAGCACACAGGCACCAACTTCAGAGTGGAACCCCCGCCAGGGGACACGGGAAGTACAGATGCTTTTAGGAGGGATAAACAGACATGCTATTTTCAGCAAGTTGCTTAGCCTCTCTGATTGGGTGGCCTAAACAAGAGGATGTAACCAATACCAGGCACAGTTCCAGGAACAGAACAGATGCTTAATAAATTATTATCACACGTCAGCACTGGCATGAACAGAGACAATGGTCTCACCACAGTGTGAGCTTGTTCACTCCAAGGTGCTCTGAGCCACAGCTCCAGCACCATATGTCCCCAAGGGGCAGTGGCCCAGGTCCCAGATAACACTTAGCCTTTTTGTAATTGGGAGCTCTAAAATCTAGAACTTGCTATCCTTATGTAGCTATTCTGGACTAACAGACATATATCTTTTCAAAATCAACACTTACTGCTTCTGCTTCAGTGGGGTCATACCAGACAGTAATGTAGGGGTGACGCAAGGCCTCGTCTACAGAGATACGCTTGTCGGGATCAATCACTAGCATTTTTGATAACAGATCTCTGGCTTGACTCGCTAGGGTGGAAACAAACATGAGATTAATAAACTAATGTGGTTAATCTGAGAAAAGGAAATCACACAATAAAGAGTTAAATGTGATAGCACATAGCACAGCTAGAACAAATATATATTAACTTCAAGAAATGTTTGATACATTCAATCAATAGAATCCAAAAACTTTTAAGAGAAAACTGAGTGGCTACTGTCATGACAAACCAGGTTTCCAGATGTGGTTTCCACCTCTGTACTTGAGGGGAGGAGAGGCATGGGGTCGAGGGGAGGGCACTGGGCAGCCTCAGACCAATGTCTGGACAGGGCCTAAAAGGTGAGAAACCACAGCCAGGAAGGCGGCAAGAGCTGAGCAAAGGGTGCTGCTGCTGAGTGTGTGCACGAAGCATGTGGGAGTGTTTCTTTTCTCTGTCACATTGAAACAAAATTGGAATAGACTTTTTAGATTACACAATGATCTCACATTCCCACAGCACAAAACCCTTCACAGATGCCTCTGCTCAGCCTGCCTTGTACAAGGTTGGCAACACACACTGCTTTTTTTTCAATCTAGAGATAAGTACTCAGAAAAAAGCCAACAAGTTCAATAACTTGGTTAAATATAAGGCTCACCTAGGTTTCAGCAATTAAAGTTACAACACAATAGGCAAAGGAAGGATTAGAGCTTTTCTGACTAAGGCACAGTTTATCCAGACATGGACAGAAACAAATCTATTCTCTTCCCTTAAGCAATTACACTTTAGTGAAGGGCACAGAAGGGCAGGAAGGACATTTTTTATAGAACTACTATCATGTTTTTGACTCTAGAATCTGTATTCAAGTGTTCTTTCATTTTTTTTTTCTTTTTTGAGACAGAGTCTCGCTTTGTTGTCCAGGCTAGAGTGAGTGCCGTGGTGTCAGCCTAACTCACAGCAATCTCAAACTCCTGGGCTCGAGCGATCCTTCTGCCTCAGCTTCCCGAGTAGCTGGGACTACAGGCATGCGCCACCATGCCCGGCTAATTTTTTATATATATATCAGTTGGCCAATTAATTTCTTTCTATTTATAGTAGAGACGGGGTCTTGCTCTTGCTCAGGCTGGTTTTGAACTCCTGACCTTGAGCAATCCGCCCGCCTCAGCCTCCCAAGAGCTAGGATTACAGGCGTGAGCCACCGCGCCCGGCTCAAGTGTTCTTTATACCTGAAAACTTTTTGAATTTCAATTGCTGTAATTATAACATAAGAGTGTTTCAGAATGATTCAAATATTTTGATTTTGGCCAAAGGCTTCAATTAAGCCATCTTATAGAGGATAATTCTAGGCCTTTAGGCCTTCTCTTCTCAGAGCCTTCATGGATCACACACTAGCCTGTGCATGACTTCATTTCAGGAGTCTAGCCATTTCATCTCTCAATGATCACATGAAACGTGAAAGGTTCACCTGAATTATAAAAAAATATATAAGAAAAAAAGGATGTCTTACTTTTTATTTTGTCTCGTTCAGATTCTGATGGGAATATCCAATCTGGAAAGAGCTCTTCAAATTTGATTCCAGGATACTTTGGTCTATTTTCTACATAATTCCTCACAGTTGGCTGAAGTCTCTTCATGAACTCTGCCGACGGTGTTCCTAGCTGCTCAATGACTTTGTTCCACTGATCAATGTCTAAGGGGTCTCTTGAGGAAAATACAACTGAAACGCCTTGTATTCATGTCACATGTAACAGCATCATTTGAAAAAAAGCTGTATTTATACTGATTGACAAGTGATTGATTAGCCCACCCTACTTGGCTGACAGAAGCATTGTGAAATAATATTCAAATTAGGTTTAGGTTTCCAAGTTAGACAATTTTTAAAAATTCCTACACTCTGAATCTTTATAAACTATTATCACAGTTTATTAAATCAATGCAATGAGGCCTATATATGCCTTCCCATTATAGTTCAAAATAAAGTTATCTTGAAACTAAGAATACCTCTGACAGAAATGGTTAAACATGAAATTAGAAAAAAATTACATAAGCACATGGAAATTCATTTTTGTACTAGTGCTACCTTAGATGCACAGCTTTCTAAAGGAGAGGCACGTGAGAGCCCTCCGAGGGACCCATCTAACCTCTTAGGTGTACAGCTGGGGAAGCGAAGCCCTGTGGCCGCTGGCCAGGTGTGGCAGGTGAGGCAGAAGGCTTTCTGAGCCTCGGCCCAGTCCTTTGCCAGACTCAACTGTGCACCAAATACCTGTAAGGTGCCAGGGAAGTCAGTCTCCCTTGGGGCCAGCTGCCATATTTGTACAATGCAGACGATACCAGCTTTGCCTACTCCGCAGGGTACTTGATGGCTTAGGATGACTGGGACTGTGTATGGGGAAAGTGACACTGAAACTGTAACCAACTACACAAGAGAACACAAGCCAGAAAAATCCTGGACACAGCAACTTAAAAAAGTGACTAACTGAGGCATATCTTAGAAAAACAAACTTATGAAACAACCTAGGCAACAGACACATAAACTCAATTCTTCCAAAATGCTATGCTTCTGAAGACCTGCTTGGGAAATGGGTTTCTAGCATTCAAATCACTAGCAAATTCTCCTTCTTCGCTCCCCTGTTTCATACATGTTGCCAAATCAGAATCATGCCTACATTTCATTTACCTACTTCACACCTTTCCCTCTCTCCTTATACTTCGGACACCTCTTCCCCATGCTCACAATTCACTGGGAGAACTGAGCCAATCTCAAGAGAAGCCTCCCAGAGCCCTCTCAATGCCCCACCCTAGCATCCATGTGCCATTCACCACCAAGGAACCCTCTGGGCTCCTGGCTAAGGCACAACCTGCCTGGCTGTAGACCTCCACCCTGGAGCCAATGCGAGGATGAGCTGCCAGGATTCCTCTCACTCCTACATCATCAACACGCTGCTCTCTCCTGACACGTTCCATCACCACTCAAACGTGATGATTGTCTCTCTTGGCGCCCGTATCCCCACTAGCTATCACTTCGTTTCTTCACTCCTGTTTGCAGCAGCACTTCTTGAAGAGTTATCTACCCTGTGTCTCTACTTCCCAGCCTCTCATGCTCTTTTTTTTTTTTTTTTTTGAGATGGAGTCTCACTTTGTTCCTCAGGCTGGAGTGAGTGCCGTGGCGTCAGCCTGGCTCACAGCAACCTCAAACTCCTGGCTCAAGGGATCCTGCTGCCTCAGCCTCCCGAGGAGCTGGGACTACAGGCATGCGCCACCATGCCCGGCTAATTTTTTCTATATATGTTAGTTGGCCAATTAATTTCTTTCTATTTATAGTAGAGATGGGGTCTCACTCTTGCTCAGGCTGGTTTCGAACTCCTAAACTGGAGCAATCCGCCTGCCTCGGCGTGAGCCACCGTGCCCGGCCTTCTCATGCTCTCTTAAGCAGACTCCCATCAGGCTTTCTTCCCTCATTTCCGTGAACGCTGTGCTCACCAAGGCTGCCAGCAGCCACCACAGAGCCTAGCGACAGTCCCCAGTCCTCATCTCCTGCACCGTGTGCACGAGCCTCCCTCCACCCCTTTCCTCCAGCTGCCAGGGCATTGCTGGAGGGCCTTCTCCACCTCCTTTCCCTGTTCCTCATTTGCCTCCACCTTGAGTGGCTTAGGCCTAGGTCCTCATCCCTTCCCTCTTTGCAAGCACTCGCTACGAGACTCAAGGCTTCAACGCTAATGACATACCGACAGCGCCACATTGACCTCCCTATCCCAGACCTCTCTCCGGAATCTCACTGTCTAACGGACATCTCCAAACTCTAACAGGCTCTTGGAGGGTTCAGCTTCAAAGCAGACACAGGGTGCAAGTCCTTCTCCCCAGCTGCACCCCTACCCGCCTGCAGTGAGCCTCCACCGCTCCCGTGACGAAAGGCAGCCTTTGCATTGGTCTCCTGCTCTGCCCTGCCCTTGACAGTCTGCCTTAGCCTCAGCAGCCGTAAAGGAGGAAGGGAGCCAAGTCAGACTAGGAGCCTAAAAATGGGCAAGGGCTAGATAAATAAACTGCTGGAATAATGACAAAGGGTCATTTCTGTAGACACCAGGGTGACGAGAAGAGGGAAGATAACCCTGTCAAGCCTGTGGGCCTTCTGAGCGTGGGCAGACACTGCTGTCATCAATTACCACGACATGTGAGGCAGACCACAGATCTTTCATTTTATAAAAGAGGAAACCAAGGCTCAGAGAGGCCTTGAATTCCTCAAGCATGCACAGCTGCCATCTCTTAGGCCACAGCAGGGATAGGAATTCCTTTTCTACCCCAGGTCACAAATCTAAAGCAAACATCTGAGGATCTTAGTCTGGTTTCTGGAAGCTCTTCTCTAAGTTTGCAATCTAATGTTTAAAAGAGTTGCAAAATTTTCTTTGATAGTGGCTAGGCACAGTAGCTTAGGCCGGTAGTCCCAGCACTTTGGGAGGCTGAGGCAGGAGGACTGCTTGAGGCCAGGAGTTTGAGACTGCAGTGAGCTGTGATCACACGACTACATGTAAGCCTGGGTGACAGAGTGAGATCCTGTATCTTAAAAAAAGAGAAAATGGGCCGGGTGCAGTGGCTCACGCCTGTAATCCTAGCACTCTGGGAGGCAGAGGTGGGCAGATCCTTTGAGCTCAGGAGTTTGAGACCAGCCTGAGCAAGAGCGAGACTGTCTCTACTAAAAAAATAGAAAGAAATTAGCTGGATAACTAAAATATATATAGAAAAAATTAGCCAGGCATGGTGGCGCATGCTTGTAGACCCAGCTACTCGGGAGGCTGAGGCAGGAGGATCGCTAAGCCCAGGAGTTTGAGGTTGCTATGAGCTAGGCTGACGCCACGGCACTCTAGCCTGGGCAACAGAGTGAGACTCTGCCTCAAAAAAAAAAAAAAAAAAAAAAGAGAAAATAATACTAAACTCTGTGTGAGTTTTGAGAATAACATTAGATGATCTTTATATACAAAACAATTAATTACTGACATTGAACTATGTTAATATGTAAAGTAGGAATTTTAAATTACTTACTAAAATGGACCAAAAAGTACCCACATTTTCATTTTTGTATTTTTTGAAGAAAACATTTCTTAATTAATAAAACAAAGCATAAATTCATTAAGAATTGAGACAAAGTGAACATTAAGTAGATACTGGTAAATTATTAATCATTAGAATAACTTGACTTTTCCCTTTTTAATTGCATTTACTTGCAAAATAAAGACCTCCTTATTTATAGGTTGAAACAAGTGAATCTGAGGTAAGGCTACGGAAAACTGCTAGAACGAAAATTTACTAGACCAAAATAAAATGCTATCTTTAACTTCACTCATTATATAATCTATGATGTAGAAAATGCAAAGGAAGGTAAATAACAGGAATAAAACCTTTTCATTCCAAGTTTGTGTTGTGAAGAATCTATAAGAAAACCATCCTCATAAAATTGTTAAAAACTAAAATTACTTTTGTAAAATACATACAAAACACTGACTTCAGAGCTTGATCTCCTTTCAAAGCAATCATTAATCTGTCAAAGGACAGAGACCATTTTAAACTTTAATAACAAAAAACAAAGTCAAAGACTAATGAAAAATTAAGTGATTAGAACACAAATGAAAAAGGGTATATGTTAGGGTGAAAAATATTAAAGATGGGAGAATGACCATATGAGGAAAGAGAGCTATTATAACTATTATAGTAACTACTCTCCTTTAATCATTCATATGATTTCCTGATCACATTACGAGTTAATCTTTTGCATTTTATATTTATTTAGACTTCCCCAATGTGTCACAAAATAACCCTCTAGATGAATTTTTTTAAAAGTTTCAAGAAAATTTCAGCAGAGTAACAAACAAAAAATTTAACATATCATTCCTTGCATACTTTTCATTTTAATCTTGTTCACTTAGGTCTTATGTACATAGTGTACTTCAGTTCTTACTCTGGGGGAAAACATTTTAATGTATAGCGATAACTAACAAAACAGTTTATTAATTAAATCACACAAGCATACTAGCCTATTAAATTTAGATAGCATCTTTCCTAGTTAAATTAATGAACTAAATAAAACAGTATGTTCATTTAAATATCAGAATATATTTATTAAAGAGTAAATAATTTCTTCTATGTGCCCAGCTATTTTTGATAAAATTAAGAGCTAATGTAATTGGTTTAACTTAATTCCAAATCTCAACAAAATTGTCACAGATAGTCAAGTAAAAAAGAAAATGTAAAACTGAATCTCTTGGTTCATGACACTAATTTAACAAACATAATAAAGACCCCCTTAGCACACAGTCTAGAGTGAATGGCGATATTTTCCTTGTGAGCATTCATGTGAGTAGGTGAGATCATGCTGCCTTTGGTGTTATAGGAAGCATGGCAGGCCAAGGTCCCGGGGAAGGATACGGTCAGTGCCTTGGAATATCACACAACCTTTCACCAGCTCTCCCATGATGCAACCCACTGACCAGATATCAACTGAAAATAAAATGAAATGATAAAATTATGAAGTGCCATGAACAAAACAAAAGTGAGAAAAAGGAATTCTAACAGTGCAATAAACACACAAACATGGAAAAATAAACTGCTAGCTAAGGGTGAACTTTTTACACAACATGAATGATTGCTGACCTCTATTTTAGCCTTCAGTCTGTGGCAATCTGGGGTTTTAGTGCCCAAGATTCCAATACTTTATAGCTTAAAACAAACAAACAAACAAACAGAAACAAAAAGTGCCTGTGAACACAAAGCTTTTCACGGCCACATGCCCACCCTTCCCCGCAGCCGTGGGGCCAAGTGCCGGGTCTCCCCTGTGAAGGATACAGTCTCTTCCTGGGAACAGGACTTTATGGAGGACCATTTCTGCCATGATGCAACCGACAGACCAGATGTCCACTACCAAATACCAGGTGATTAAAAAGCAGCTAGAGTCCCACATCTCCATTCTCCACACTCCCTCCCAGAGACAAATCCAGTAAACGTCACCAGCTTGTCAGTGGGAGCTTTCATAAACACAGACCCCACACCTTCTGCATGACCATCTTCTGAGCCGCCGTGTCAGAAAGGCAGCAGTGCTCAGTAAGGGAGCAGCTTGCCCGGCTGGGTTCCACGTGAAGTCCTGCCAGAGGGGCCCCAAGTTCCACGGTGCCCACCCTCATCTGTGGGCCCCAGATGGACCACTATCTAAGTGCCCTGGTGAGCAGGGGGCAGGGAGAAGTTAACAGGGGACCTAGTTCTCTCTCCCTTCCACGGAAAGCACACAGAGCTATGCCTCTCAAAGTGGGAGCACAGGTTACAAGGCATACACTGACGTGGAACTCATTTCAGATGACTTGGGCAAACTTTCAATCTCTTTTTTTCTTTTGTTAAATAAGTAAATGTATTTTAGTTCTTTTCAACCAATTTGTTAAAAGCTAAGTTGTGATGTTAAAAAAATACCAATTTTACATGGAAGAGAACATGTTGCATTATTCCATTTATACTAAGTTCAAAAAACCAAGTAAACCTAGAAGCAAAGCCAATCTATGGGCTGGAAATCAGGATGACGGCCACCCTCGTGGCCGGGGCTGGGTGTGGAGAGGCCTGCGCTGTGGGCTCTGTGGGCCTGCTCGCGCCGAGCTGCACGTTCAGGGTCTGTGTGCTTTCCTGTGAGTAGGTTATATTTTGATAAAAAGTTCAAAAATACTAATTTCAAAAGATTTTTAAAAGTCAATGATTTTAACCAATGGAAATATAAAATTATTTCTCATCTATGGACTATTATACTCTCTTATATTTAATACAGTTCAAAGGAAAGAGGAAAAACTAGAGATGGCCACTAGAGCTATTTCAGACACCACAGCCTCTTCCCCGTCTGTCCGTACTCACCGTTCTCTTTGTAGCCCATCCCCAGGATGACTTCAGGGGCCCGATAGTACCGCGTCACCACGTAGGGAGTCATCATGAAGTTGGTGCATGCTGTCCGGGCCAGGCCAAAGTCAAGGATCTTAAGGGTGCAGTCTGATTTCACTACGATGTTGCTAGGCTTCAAATCCTAGGAAAGAAATGGTTTAAATGAGCAAAATGAGCAAAGCATGCTAAACAAACTATTTCCCATTGGAAAGGGAAATAGTTTCTCACTATTAACTAAAGGGAAATAGTTCTCACTACTGAGTATGTGAGAGTGTAGGGAGGAAGACAGTTGGAATCAAACTCTGGGATTCTGCAACAATTCCAGAAAACTTAATTCAAAACTAATGCAAATCAGCCTAAAGGGGTTCCCTTCATCCCTATGTGGAAACATTTATAATCCTCCTTTACTTAAAACCTTCTGAGAGCTTCCATGCCCCTCCCTGTGGCCTCCCAGGCCCTGAAGGCTGCCTGCCAGCCCCTCATCTCCACCTCAACTCTACCTGGCCCTCCTTCCCTTCCTCCAACCCCTGGTTTCCCCCAGCTAAGGCCCTCATACTCACTGGTCAGTCTAGAGCAGAGCTGTTCAGTAGATAATATAATATGAACCACACGTATCATTTACATTTTCTAGTAGCCATATTAAAAAGTGTCAACAGAAACAGGTGAAATTAATTTTAATACAGTATATTTTTTAACTCTATATATCCATAGTATTGTTAATATCACTTCAAAATGTCATCAACATAAAAAATTACTGACATATTTACATTCTGCTTTTAGTACCAAGTCTTTGAAGTCCAGTATGTATTTCAGGATTACAGGATAGCCACATTCTGAGTGCTCAACAGCCTTGTGTGGCTACCATACTGGATGGCACAAGTCTAGCATTCGCTTGTCTTAGAATCCTCCCATGGCTCTTTCTCTCCTTGGAAGAGCAATCCCCTGATTACCAATCTCAATCCTTCTCTCCCCCACAAGGACTCACCACTCCCTCCAGAGCACCTGTGTTAAGTCTCCACAGCCTGTAGGTGCCACAAGTGAAATCACCTGCTTGTCCTTTGGTTCCCAGCTCCCCGTGTGTCCCCAGTGCTGACCCTGAGAGAGCAGGGTGGCAGCTGTGCCCTCGGTACTGGTACACACACACTCAGGAACCGTGCCGACTGAGCACGCACATCACACTCCACCGCACTTTCAATGCCTCAACACAACTGCCACAGGTTTTTCCTGCATGATATAAGGCCCTTTCTTCCAGCTAACCCTCCATATTCCAGCTCCTTCCTTAGGCCACAAGAGTTTGACTTTTGCCTGTGGACTCCAGCATGTAGACTCACCCAGAAATTGTGACTTCTAAATGTCCACATCTATTCTTCTCATAGGATATGCAAACGTGTAGCTGCACCATCAAACTGCCAAGCCACTACTGCATGGCAACACCAGGGGGTAGTTGTGAAGTTGTAGGTTCCACAAAACTGCCCAGCACCTGACTGCCACCACTTCCCAGCTGATGGGCCATAGGTCACAGGTATGCCGGACACAGTGATGGTTAACTGTGATGTTATCAGGACAGGCACAAAACCCATAACAAACTGACAACTATAATTATACTTCAATACTACTAAATGCTCTCTTTCTAAATTTCCTGGATTCAGTAAAATTTAAATTATACTATGTTTCCCCGAAAATAAGACCTACCCATAAAATAAGCCCTAGCAGGATTTCTAAGCATTTGTGCAATATAAACCCTACCCCGAAAATAAGACCTAGTGATGGGTGTGGCCACGCAGCGCATCTGCACAACCCATGCATTTGGTCACGGAGCGGGAAAGAAGACGAGCAGCCCTTCTCATCTGCCCCATCGTGACAGCTGCTGTCCCAGAGGTGACGGGAAAGGGTGGGCAGCCCCACCAACAAGGTCGACTCCCCCTGTCAGGTCCCGGCCGTCCTGTGTGTGCTGCAAGCTGAGGCTATGAGGGGAAAATAACACATCCCCTAAAAATAAGCCCTAGGGTGTCTTCTTGAGGAAAAATAAATATAAGACCCTGTCTTATTTTCGGGGAAACACGGTAAGTAGATAATATTTACAAATGCAATAAAAATCTCTACCAGGCCCCATAAAGAGTCCCCCAGCTCCTCCATACCACCTCAGGGCACTGGAAAAGGGGCCCCTCTCACAGGAGAGGCCCGAGGTGAGGAAGGCCCGGCCCTCTGCCTGGCCCTGCTGCTCAGTGTGAAGGGCAGCCGGAGAGCGGTAGCCCCGGCTCCAGCCGGGACTGTCCCCTGTTAGGAGTCCATGATGGAGCAAAGACCAAACAAACCAATTTGTTTTCTAGTTTTCTTTTTTAAAATCAAAGAATACAGCAAGAATAGGCATTTTAGAATACAAATTACTAACAGATGAAATAATGCTCGACCTCACAAAAATATTTTTTAGAAACCCAAAATAACAAGGAACCATTTTGAGTCTATCATGTGGCAATGGTGAAAAGAAAGCAGCATCCACACTGGCAGGAGGACCTGGGGGACCCTCCTCACGCTGTCAGTGGGGGCCTCAATAGGGACTTTCTCCTTAGGAGGGTGAATTTTTAAATATGTGAAATGTGTATGCTTTACCACTCAGCAGTCCCTGAAGTCCACCCTGGCCTAGAACTGACAGCACAGCCGCATGACTGAGGAGGGAGGACAGGAGTGGCCCAGGGCCCACCAAGGGCAAATTCAGTCATGGGAGGAGCCACCTCAACAGGCCACCTGCCTGCGAACCCCCGAGGGAGTCCGAAAACATGCCCATCTTGAGACTCTATCTGTCAGGTTAAACACACTTTACTGCCATCGGGGCAGTGGCTAAGGGGCAGTGGCTAAGGAGGTCCGGGCTCTGAGGGCTTCCGCCCACCCTTTTTCCAGTCAGCTTCCATGGTACATCCAGCTTCCAAAACTTGGCTGGACTACAGCTTTAAGACTGCAGAGTAAAGACAACTTTGTCACTTCAAATCTCGGAAACCATCTAGAACATGGAAAACAAGAAACGCAAGTTACGATCCAAATGACACCTGGATTTGAGGGTTCAGCCCCCAGAGGTACAGAAGATGGCTATGAGGCCCAGTACCCCTGTGGGCAGCAGCGTGGGCACCACAAAGTGGGGCGGGCAGGGGCTGACCTTCACCACTGCCTGCTGGTCCCCAGCTCCAGACCCACTGCCTGAAGAGCTGTCCCAGGAGGAAGGACCCCTGTGCCCTGTGACAAGTGTGTGCTGTCCGGCTTTCCCTGGTCCTCCCCCACAGATGCACACAGCCATTCACTCAGGTGGCTGTACTCTGGGGAAGGAGAAGAGCCAGACATTTTGAGGATGACTGGACACAAGTTCTAAGCGGACACTGAAATCCAAAGGCCCCAAGCATCGTCATGCCTCCTACACGTGAAGAGTCTGTAGGGCCAGGTCATAAATGCAATCTGGCCCACGTCTCTTCTGGCCACTCTAGGACAGAGGGTGGGAGAGTTAACACAGGCCAGAGGCAAAATGTACAGGAATATCTCAGTTCAGCCCACACAAGTGTGAACAGTTTCTGACCCTCCTTTCCAACAGTATGGAAGAATGCACTAGCCCAATCAACATGACACACCTGAGGCCTTATTAACTGGCTCTAGGAACTATACTACGTCTGTGACCATGGACTAGTCTCATCTGACCATATTCCACTGATAATGTCCTGTTATTTTGTAGGAACAGAGCTAACAAGTTGCAAGTTATACAGCCAGAGCATACACAGAAAACTGCAACTTCAAATAATACTTGGAACTAAAGTTTTGCCTCCCCCCAACCCTGCCCTGCCCTGCCCACTCCCTGGAACTAAAAGATTGGAACCCAAGTGCTGGACACTTTCCAAAGCAAGAGGTCTGTGTCCAGGAATGTCCCGTGCTACAGACCCCTCCCTGGGCCTTACCATAAATGGTCCTGTTTGATGTCCTTCCAATCAAAACCTACCTTGCCAGTGCTTTGTCTACCAACCTGTCCTCCCCAACACATGAAACCTGCCCCAGACCCCAGCTCAGGGAGAAAGATTTGAGCTTCACCTCCTGTCTCCTTGCTGGCTGACCTCACAATAAAGCCTTTCTTTCTTCTTTCCTTCTCAAAGCCAGTGCCACAGTGTCACCTTCTGTGTGTGGGACAGTGAGCCCTTATGCCTGGCAGCATGGCTGGCACAGCAGCCACGGCAGATTGCTAGCTGGCTAAGCCTGAGCAGTTAGGGTCACTCTCCAGGATCCCTCTTGTTTCTTCAAGGGCAGACTAGTGATTAATCTGAGAGATGAGAGGGAATTGAGGTTTTAATGGTGCATCCACCCCCACAGGTGCAACAATACTTTTGATTTATTATCTTGAAGATAGTTTTGGGTTCCCACTTAGCTTCCCAATGATAACTGCCAAAGAACTCACATGGGGGTTGCTCAGGCTGCCAAGTGCAGCAGATCCAGCCACACAAACAGGAATCAGGGGTGCCCACCGGGTGGCCCAAGGACCCAGAGGCCCACTGTCAGCTGCCAGACTCAGACCCCTCAGGAATGAAGGTCTGGGTCACACATGAGGTGAGCCACAGAGGCCTGCCATGGGGAGGGCTGGAAGTGTGGGTACTGCGCTGACAGGGGCAACGGCTCATCCCACTAATCTCTGTCTCCTCGATTTTCCCTAGAGGAGGCCATGGAAGCCACAGGGGAGCCGCTCCCAGCCTACGTGGAAAAGTGGGGCTGCGAGGGCCTGGGTGGGCTGTGGGGGCCACGGAAAGGCGTTCCTTGGTCTCCCACTGTGGGAGTGCAAGCAGCAGATGGCCCAGGTGCTGCTTTTGAATCTGCCGTCTGTCTTGTCCACACACACCTCCCACAGAACTCTTAGCCAGGTGTGATGGGCAGGACAACTGAGGCAGACCTGTTCCTGTGAGACACACAAGTCCCCTGGTGGGTGACAGCTCGCATGGGCCACCCAGCAGCCTGGGCTCTGCCTCACTCCCCCTTCCTGGGCCGGCACTGCCCGCTGACAGCTTCCCACCTCTTCCAAACTGCTCTCCTTTCCTCTCTCGCTGGCCTTCTTCCTGCCAGTCTCTTGCCTGTCTGATCCTGCCGTGGCATTCTGAAGCCTTCAATAAAACCTCCTGTTCT